CTTTTATATACTTCACTTTTGTTTATGTTTTTTTCTTTTATTTTAGTTTTCACGTAGTCTACTGTCTTTGTTCTTCTAGCACTACATCTATGAAATCACCAATGTAGCTGTAGCTTGGTGGCAAACCTTTGATTAAATATCTTCAGCTTCATCTAGTACTCCGCCGCAGCTCTAAAATCGTTAATTGCTTTTTCGAAATCCACGAAAAATTCATCCACTTCAGTATAATTATTTAGTTTTATTTCTTCTATTTTTCCTCTTTGCAGTATCTGAAGTGCCGTAGATTATGATGTTTATATACCGTCGTATTTTGTCATCATATCATATGTGGTTGTACATTCTCCTATGTATTCTAATTGCCTGTCCGAAACTGTGCTCATAATTATCATTCTTGCTTTCAAATTCCTTTGTGTTCCAGTCTGCTTCTGTATCTTGATCAGTTATTCTTCTTGTTGCTTGTTCTTTGCATTCTTTGTATTCGTGTAACAACTTTAATCTTAATTTCCAACTTGTAAAGTATCTTTTTTTTATTATTATATCTTCAACTTTTGTTTGAGTAACCATTTTTAATTCTTTTTCTTTTTGTGTTTTTATTTTACAATCGATTTTTTGTTTTAGTATTAGAACCTTTTTTGTTACTTCAAGAAATTTTTTAATATTTTTCATTTTGTAGTTTTAATTCATAATTTTCACTGATCAACTTTTCCTTGTGACTTTTCATTAAATTAGTTGCCATGTGCTGTATATAAAACCACGTGTTCACGTTGAAAGTTTTTTGGTTATATACAAGTATACAATAGTTTTTGGACCTTTTAGCAACCTTGCTACAGGTATTCATTTATTTAACAGAGTATTGAATTCAAAACGGCTTAGATAAGTTATTTAGACACACAGATCAATTTATGAAACAAGATTAAAAAACCAACTGATATCAAAATTACATCCAGCAATGTAAATATGGCAGCAGTGAATAAAAAAAAAGACAACCTTGCTCTGCTACCATGTTGAGAACAATGGCGTCTTTAGTAAGTGGTAGAGTTGCCACACATGTAGATTATAATTTAATAAGTGGTAGAGTTGCAATACATATTATATATATTATATTACAATGGCTAGATTACAAAAATTAATTTACAGTATTCAACAGAAATAATTTCAACCTGGCTTTGTGGATACCGAAACTGATCTTGTTGTCAGCTATGGTTAGAGCCTCTATTGAATCTTGGAAAATTGCCACCAACTAGGAAATCCAAAGAGGTCAGGTCCGGGGATCTAATTACCTTGTAGCCCCTAAAGGTTTGCGAGGAGTCGAACTCCGGATGGGGAGCCGCCGGATTGCCCAGAACATAGCTTAATACTAGACTCAACAATCTCCACCATATCTCCAAATGGTGTCAGGTGAGGAGGAGTTTCTGTCTATTATAGACATTTGGAGGCAGTTCCTGGTCCTATCGCAAGAGTATGTAGCTGTTGTTGTGCTATTTGATCGGCTTTCCCCTACTTTGGTGTTTTGGGCAGAGTTTTCAACCTTTCGTTGTGGGAGCGATTCTTTTTCTAAGAGTTAGTTATGGCGGTCTTAGCGGTCCTCTTTTTACGCTGTACCTCCTCTTTGGCTGCCAGTGTACTTTAGTTGGTACTCTTGTCTGCTTTGGATATGGACGGTTCTACATTTAAGTTTAAGGTAATTTAGACACTCCTGACTGGAGACTTCTCGTTGTCTTCATCTGAAACCGTTATAGGTTGCCAATAAGTATTAATATTTGCCGTTGTCCCTGTAGTCGTAGCGGTAGCCATCGAGATGTCAATTGTTTTGTTGTTATTGCTTGCGTTCATATTTGGTTCCACGAATCTTCCGGAAAGGGTTGGTCACTCGACCGCGGAGCCTTTATGCGTAGAGAAGTTATTCGTTAGCTCCGATCTCGCCCGGGCATCGGAGGGGACTTACCGCTTGCCGACAATTCAGCCATCATTCAGCATGGCTTAGGTTCGATATCGGCGTTTCCCACAAATGAGCAGCTTCTTGAGGATAAAAGGACGTGTGCAAAATTTGAAATCGATGTCTCAAAGACTGCGGGACTAGTTCGCGTATATACAGACAAACGTACAGATGGGCATGGCTAAATCTACTCAGCTCGTCACGCTGATCATTTATATATATATTTTTATAGGGTCTCTGACGTTTCCTTCTGGAAGTTACAAATTTCGTGGCATATTTTATATACCCTGTTCAGGGATGCAGATATGCATTGGACTACTTTTACTATTTTGCATTTGATTGCGCGGTTATTTGCGGAACTTAACGTTTTTCAAATGTTTAAGAAACTTCAACACAAATGAATTAACGAAGATAAATTTGAAATTTGGTTTCCCTAACTATTGACTAAGAGGTTTTGAATCATGTTCTCAACTCATTTTATTTGAATCAAGCACTAGCAAAGATATCGATATAAAACTTCCGACATCGTCCTATTTTTTCCAAGCCCCCAGATACCGTATATGAGACCCTCAATGGCTGAGTTTTTATCGATTTCATTTATTAGATATTTTAATAAAACTTAATGGACATTTCTTCGCGAGCTCTAGTTGCCCAAACACACATTACAATGATTTTCTTTAGTTTAATTGACTGTATAACATAAGATCAATTTAAGAAATCTTTGAAAAATTATGAAAAATGTATACCACGTATTAGGTTGCGGCATATAAAAGTTTGATACCGATAATGAGTAAAATCGACTCATGGTAATTCATGAAGTCTCCACATAGCAAACATAATGACTTTTGGTACTCTGGCAAATGTATGTATTTCAAATATATCGGTAAGTGTTTGAGTTTTTATAATCAATTTGTTAGGAAATAGTGTATTAAGTATAATTTATAGCCGATAGTAGAGTAATGTCAAAGATGAATGAACGAATTTCATACATGCAATATAATGAATTTTATACCGCATCCTGTTCCAAGATCGATGAAAATGAATATACAAGTCACTGCATTACATGAAGTTTATTTTAATCGCTAAATAAGTCATATGGGTCATACCCATAGCCAATGATAATTAGTTAATAAAAATAATTGTAATCGGTTTAAAATTAAATTTAGCAACAGTTATTGAATTCATAAACAACATTTCTATTATACAGTTTTGAAGACTTTAGATTTTAAATATTGCGAGAATGTATAGTATTTAGCTCTCAATTTTAGTACTTTCAATATTGTTTGCAAAGAGTGTAATAGTTTTGTTCATCTACAACTTATAGAAATAAGTATAGGATTAAAAAATCAAAGTGATCATGATCTCGCGAATAAAATTAACTAGTAAGAAAGGCCTAAGTTCGGGTGTAACCGAACATTTTAACTCTCAGAATGTGCAAAGCCGGTGTGGCTAAATGACCCTCAGACCCCTCACCGTACACCACGGCCACATCAAATAGACTACGTCTTTATTAAATTTCACATACACATCTTGGTTACATTCCACATCACTACACCATGCTCCAACACGCACACAAATACAACAACATCACGATCACACCACACATGCGGACATTACATTTTACACCACACCAAAAGAAGCAAAAGGTTCCTGACGGAGGCTCCCGTTCCCTTTTTTCGCTTCGATTCGACATTGTAAAATAAAAAGCAAAAAATAAATCCAAAAAGTAACAGAAATATAAATACTTATACATACGAGTACATACATTCTTCATATACACATATAAAAAAATTATGAAGATATATACATATTAGGGTAGAGCGAAAATTTTTTTTTTTTACTTAGCCTGAAAATCTAGGGTAAAATCTGTAGATTATAAAAACAGCCAAAAAAATTTTTTTTTAACATCTGGACGCGGTGCACTCAGTTTTGAAGTAAATTTCGAGTTAAAATTTTTTTTAGACAAGAAAAAATTATTTTTGGTTTAAACCCTTTACAATTATTAAAAAAATTTCCGAATGTGACGGTTTTTGACTCAAAATTTATTTTAACGCTTAAGGAAAGCATGTTGTCGTTTAAGACTTTTTTTTAAAACTCCAGTAATGCCACAAAAATTTTAAGTTGATAACTTTTAATTGGCTAGAAAGAGGACTCTCCACAGCTTCTAGAACACTAATCAAAAAATGTTTACGAAAATAGTGTATGTATCTTAGAGGGTCTCCGACGTTTTTTTCTGGGTGTTACAAACTTAGTGGCAAACTGAATATACCTTGTTCAGGGTATAATAACAAAAGAAAGCGTGCGCGATAACAACAAGAACCATACACCTGCAAAACGCATAAAGGACAATACACAAAAAACAGGAACAGGAAATAGGATCAGTTGGCCTTTAGGAGAGGAGGAATCAGAATACATAAAAGGCAAAAAAAAACACGCACATATAACAACATATGTACTGTGAAACCTCTACTTGCGGACACCTCCATTAAGCGGACACCCCTTATAACCGGATAAAAGTTCGGGATCCAAGTTTTTCATTGCGTTTTTAGAATTAATTTCACTCTAATAATCGGACACCGGACACTTTTTCCCATTTTTATGTTGTCAACATCTCTCCTAAGCGGACGCGGACCTCTCGTTAACGGACAAGTACAATATATCATTAAACAAAATAATGAACAAATCAATAAAAATCTCTGATAAGCGGACGCGAAACTTTTATTCGCAGACAACGAAGATCAGTAAATGAAAGTAAAGTGTAATAGCTAAACCGAGCAGCCAAAATCTACTTACATATGTACTTACGTACAATTAACATAGAGTTAACGTAACAATTGGTAGTTTTTAGCATAAAAAGAAGGCAAATTATGAATCATTTAAATGTATTGCAAAACGTTTTATTCGCGTTAGTTGGAGTTAAGACTGAGAATGTCACAGCAAAATAAAATACTTTCCATTAAGGAAAAAATGGAAATCATAAATGTGGTAGAGAAAGAAAATTATCATTCAAAAGAATTAATATAAAGAAAATATTGGCTCAAAAATATACTATTTGTGTTTACAGTGGTTCGCTAAAGTGGGAAGCCAAAATATACCAATATCGGGTCCTATTATAAAGGGAAAGGCAAAGGAAATCGCTGGTCTATTATGCATTCAAAATTTTTCTGCTTCAAACAGATGGTTGGATAAATGGCGAAGGCGCCATATTGTGACGTTCAAAAGCGTATATGGGGAATCTGCCGATGTTAATCCCGAGGATGTGCAGCAATTCAAACAAAAGTTACCAAATAATTTGTTAATCTTTAGTCCAAAAGATATTATATGAAACTGGACTTTTTTTCCATGCCTTGCCCAATAAAACGCTTGCTTTAAAGAAAATGCCTTAGCGGTAAGTTATCGAAAGAAAGGCTAACTGTGCTATCGTCTGCCAATATAATCGGGGATAAAGAAAAACCGTTAGTGAGCGGAAATGCAGCACGCCCACGCGCTTTTAAAAAATGCGATATAAAAAGCTTTCCAGTGGAATGGAAATCAAATCCGAAAGCTTGGATGTCTCGTGAAATTTTGAGTGAGTGGCTACTAATGCTTTATAAAAAATGGGCTTCCAGAAGAGGGAAATTTTATTATTTTTAACCAATGCCACGACTCACCGTCAAGATATTAAGCTAGATAACAATAAGTTGATGTTTTTAAAATTTAAAATTTTAAATGCCATTATAGATGCAACATTATCAAGCATATGTTGACAAGATTAGGATACATTCCAATGGAGAGACTTTCAAAAACTTTTGACATCTTGGAGGCTGTTTATTTTATTAAATGTGCATTAGACAACGTAACGATAGAAACAATTAAGAACTGTTTTTTAAAAGCCGGTTTTCAAAAAAACTCCGTGTGAAATTTCTAGTTTCGATGCAAAGGATGATATTTCAATAACGACGCTAACGGCTTTGATAAAGATTTTAAATGAAAATGGGCTAGATCAGTAATCGGAAGACTTTTTGTTAATCGAAGACTTAATATAGAAGACAATATTATATTGTTATTGACGAAATTAATACTGATTAAATGTCTGACGGAGAAACCGAAGACTTAAATGAAGTACGTGTCTAGAATGAAGGACAAATTAAGTCATATCCTGAAGCTTTAGAGTAACTTCGTCGCCAATACGCCAAAACTATAGAATGCCATCTTGAAAACTATTTTATAAAACAAAAAAAGAAAAATTGCGACAGACTACGGTAGACGAAATTTTGTAAACCTAAATATAAATTGATATGTACATCAATATACATATACGGATTATCTTTTAAAATAAACATGAAATAAATTGATCGTTAAAACACATAAAATACGCATAAAATGGTAATGAAAAATTTATTTTAGTAAAAAAACGTGTGTAATAAATTTTACTTTCCGTTTTGTTCATCAACTCCCATAAGCGGGCTAAAATTGTGGAATCGTTAGTGTCCGGTTGTAGGCGGGTTCATTGTATATACATTCACCCCAAAACCCCTTGAGGCGAGACGTATCGTTTAAGTTTTATTTATTATATATGTATGTATATTTTTACTAAATAAACCAGAAAAATCCGTTTAAACAGGTTGAAAACACAAATACAAAAGCTTTAACAGATACAAAATAAAAAAGTACTAAAAATCTGCAATTTATATATGCTTAGATTTTCCTAAACGTTAACGGAAAATTTCAAAAAACGATATATGGTACAAAATAATCTTGTGACGAGTAAGGAAGGCCTAAGATCAGATGCAACCGAACATTTTATAATCTTGCAAACTCAAATGGTATACTCGTTTGAGATTTCTTTATATATTTTAATAATTAGAAGTAGGAACTGTTGCCTCAGCTATTTACATTCACAGTGAAACTAATTACAGCAATTTGTAAACTAAATTTACTCATATTATGAGAAATCGTTCTTGTGTTTTGTTGTATACGCTTAAAATTGATTTTATATAGAATGCATTACAACTATATTAAGGAGTATGAAAATAAATCGTTTTTCACAGTGAATAAAACTTTTTATTTATTATATGAATAAACATGTTTAGCTTAAAAATAATAGATATTAAGAACTTTAAAAATTATATTATGATATTAATTTGTCTCAGTTTTCTTGCTATATTTAAGTTCGCGTCAGCGAAAATTATATTACAAAAAATACATATTGAAGTGAAATATACATATGTATGAATTATATATTAACTCAACCAAAGAGGCTAAATTTTATATTAGTATAAGCTTTTGTGGAAAACGTCAACCCAAGAATCGGAATTCATTATTGAAGGTGTGAGGTATAGACCAATGTATATACTAATTTCATTCAAATTCAGCGTTAAACCACATATTTAAAAAAAAAAACTTATCCACTTTAACAATTTATTGAAATTAAATATCACATTTTGATCAACCGGAACGGTTTAAAGTCAGGTGGAAAGACGGAAATCATATATATGTATATTGGAGATAGAGAAAGATAATAATTTTGATATTGCTCAGCTACATTAGAGAACATATTTTGAAACAATTTTATATATAAAAAAAATATTATTACTCGCTGACTGACATATTCGGCATAAAACTAGTTAGAATAACGAAAAGCAATACAACTAGTATATGGAAGTTGAGGGTAGTATTAGTGCTACTAAGATGCCATAGACTAGTAAAATGTTGCCACTGTTTCCTGTGCCTGATTTATTGCGCTTTTAGTAGTTTTTAACAGTACCGTTCTATGGAGAGTGGGAGGTACTGTCACCGGATTTCACCCATCATTGCACTGTCAATAGAGGTGCTAAAAACATTTGCTCTCAGTGAATTATTTTATTATAGCTTTAGTGGTTTAGGAGATATGTACATTAAACCTATTAGGGAGCGGGACCACGCCCACTGAAAAAATTTTATAACTGTAGATGCCCCTTCCTAATGTGATCCTGTATACCAAATAACAGTCTTGTATCTTATTGTGGAGCTAAGTTATGGCTATTTATTTGTTTTTGATTAATGGCGTTTTGTAGGCGTGGCATTGGTCCGATTACGCCCATCTGCAATTCCAACTGTCTTACTGCACCAAAAAACATGTGTACCAAGTTTCATACAGATATCTCAAGATTTACTCAACTAACAGCTTGCACAGACGGACGGACTTATGCTTAACAAATCAATACGCGGGCTGCATAAAAACAAGTAAGCCAAGGTACAATGACAACTAAAGTCAGAATCCGCGGTATAAAGACAACAAATACAAATACACATATATACATATTCAATTCGCTAAAAATGTGCATATTATAAATTCTCTTTGCTCAATTTCCTCTCGGCGAAAATATTACAAATACACAAATTCATACATATTTACATACAGCAAACGATTTGCCTACCGTCATATACCCCATATACATTGGGTACAATTATATATTCCTATTTCACTTTTATAAATTATTTTATACTAAATAAACGGTTCGGTTAATTTATGACTAATAAAAATTATAATAACAAATAAATATTTAATTCCATAATTATTGTAACCACATATATCTATATACATATATTCGTACAACACTTCAAAGTCTATATTGGCATATATCCCGCAATACCCCTTGTTTTTTAGCAAACCAAAACAAGCAGGATTGTGCACACAACATTTCAGCACAACTAATTCGTGCATACATAACATAGGTACAAAAAGCATTGATCTCTTCAACGAGCTCTCAATTGCACAATTATATATTATAAAGACACACTTATAAGTCTACGCATTAGGGTGTATCTACAAGTATATACCCTTATATAAGGACATTAAAATTTAAATAAATAAATAGTGCGGTTGTTAATAAATTATTAAATAAAATTTAAATAAACAAGAAAATATATTCCGAAGCTATAATACCCTTCACAAATACAAAGGTTACTTACAAGAACTTGATTCCGATTACTCAATTTATATAGCAGCTATATGATATAGTGACCTGACCTTAACAATTTCTTGGGAGAATACATTGATGCTTTAAACAATAAATCATACCAAATTATGTGAAGATACCTCGTCAAATGAAAGAGTTTTCCATACAAGCACTTGTTTCCGATCGTTCAGTTTGTATGTCAGCAATATCATATAGTAATATGATCTGAACAATTTCTAAGGCGAATATATTGCTGCCTTAAGCAATAAATTGTGCCTAATTTAGTGAAGGTACCTCGTCAAATCAAAGAGTTTTCCACACAAGCACTTGATTCCGATCGTGCAGTTTGTATGGCGGCTATATAATATAGTAATATGATCTGAAAAATTTCACCGGAAAAAATATTGTTACCTTAAGCAATAAATCGTGCCTAATTTAAATATCTCGTTAAATGAAAAAGTTTTCCATACAAGCACTTGTTTCCGATCATTCAGTTCGTATGGCAGCTGTATGATATAGTAATTTGATCTGAACAATTCTTAGGAGAATACATTGCTACCTTAAACAATAAATCATACATAATTTTGTAGAGATGTCTCGTCAAATGAAAGAGTTTTTCATAAATGGTCTTGTATCCGATCTTTTAGTTTGTATGGCAGTTATTTGATATACTAAGATGATCTGAACAATTTCTTCGGAGAATATATTCTTGCCTTAAACAATCAATCGTGCCTAGTTTCGTGAAAATCTCTCGTCAAATGGAAGAGTCTTCCATAGAAGCATTTATTTCCGATCGTTCCTTTAGAATGGCAGCTTTATGCCTTAGTGATCTTATTTAAAGATTTTTTCGGAGAAGACATTGTTGCCTTAAGCAATAAACCGTGCCTTATTTTGTGAAGATACCTCGTCAAATGAAAGAGTTTTCCATACAATAACTTGATTCCAATCGTTCAGTTTGTATGGCAGCTATATGCTATAGTAATTTGATCTGAACAATTTCTTCAGACAATACACTGTTGCCTTAAACACTAATCATGCTGTAATTCATGAAGATATCTGGTCAAATGAAAGAGCTTTCCATAGAAGCACTTGTTTTTGATCGTTTACTTTGTATGGCAGCAAAATGCTATAATGATCTAATTTAAACAGTTTCTTCAGAGAATACCATGTTGCCTTAAACAATAAATCGTGCCTAATTTCGTAAAGATATTTGGTCAAATGAAAGAGTTTTTCATATAAGCACTTGATTCCGATCGTTCAGTTTGTATGGCAGCTATATGATATAGTTATCTGTTCTAAACAATTTTTTCAGAAAATACACTGTTGCCTTAAACACTAATCATGCCGTAATTCGTGAAGAAATCTGGTCAAATGTGAATAAAAATATACCCAATTTATTGGGAGCACGAAATTTATTATCACTAGCTTTAAATAGGGTTAAAGGAAGCACTCGAATATTTAGTTGTATAATTGAACTCCGTTCAAATTTATTTATATACCAAATTATTAATTATTAAACAATTAAAATTTAATAAAAGTAAATAGTTGTGCAACCAGCTGATTTCGCGAAAATGATGTCCGAACAATGAAGGTTTGTCGTCGACGCGCTGTACCGCAGAGAAGAAGTTAGCGCGTAGGATCACTATTTAATCGAGTGTGCATAAGCGAATGTCCAGGATCGCTGTATTAGCGGTCTAATAAGCGAATGTAATGGTATGTTGTGTTGTCCTATGTGGTGTCATCTGGTGTGGGGTGAAATTCCTTGAGTGTTTCGCTAGGGTGTGTCAGTTTTTCTGGGTAGAGTGGTGCACTTGGAGGAGGGAGTTTAAACTCATTTAAACATCCTGGGCCCCCTAGGCGAATATTTTGCCTAGTATTAAACATATGGGCTGTATTATGCATTTCGGCGTGCTGTTGATGAAGTAGCCGAGGGCGAGAATATTAGCTGTAAGAAGCAATTTTGGTTTTAATCAATTTGTTTGTTTGTATTTACGATTTTTTCTTTTATGAATTTTTTATGCGGATTGTATATGATTTGCCTTTTCTGTATTATCAGCAATTATTTACAATCTCTTTATTATCGGCTTATGAGGATAGCGACTCCACGCCTGGCTCAGATATGGCCAGAATGGGTGCTCCTTTCAAACTTTTGAAGAGGGATCTTGCGAGAGTAAGATTTGAGATTTTCGCTCACTTTTTTGAAGTGAGATTTACAACTTTTACAAGTATTTCCCATAAACTACCCGTATGATGAGCGCTTAGATAGATGCGATAGCTGCGACCTTTGCTTTTGTAAGTCTGGGTGCGTCACTGTATCACATTGCAAGTATGGTGATTCCTTAACTTTAGTTTTTAATTGTATTTGATTATGAATCGATTTTTGGACATTTTATGACAACTACTCGT